GTGAAGAAAGCTGATGGTGCCCAGCTATCAAAAGATAAAGTGTCTGGGGTCTTAAAGGCTTGAAGATAAACAAGCGGCCATCTAGCTCAGAGGCAACAATGCCCATATGGAAGAAGCACACCAGCCTGTGTGACCGTGATGTGTCGATGGGATTAAGTATCAGACATCAAAGATCCAGAACAAAACAAACAAAAATCATATCAATGGGAATGAGGGGGAGGGCAGAGTGGAGACCCAAAGCCCATCAGTAGTCAATTGGACATCCCCTGTCAGAAAGGCCACAAGGAAGAGGTGAGCCAGTTAGGGTGCAGTATAGCACTGATGAAACACACAACCTTCCTCTAGTTCTTTCTTTGCCCACCCCTACCCCCACTATCATGATCCTAATTCTATCTTACAAATCTGGCTAGAACAGAACATGTATACTGGTACAGTTAAGAGCTTGAAACACAGGAAATCCAGAACAGATAAACCCCTCAGGAACAATAAGGGGAGCAGTGATACTAGGAGGTAAGGGGGTGGGGCAGTAAGGGGGAACCTATCACAATGATCGATGGATGAATGCCCCCCACCTTCCCAGGAGGATGAACAGCAGAAAAGTGGGTGAAATAAGATAGCGGTTGGTATAAGACATGAAAAAAAAATGTATAAATTGTCAAGGGGACATAGGGGAGAGAGGGTTAGGGAGGGAAGGGAAAAATGAGTTGACGCCAGGAGCTCAAGTAAACAGAAAATGTTTTGAAAAAGATAACATATATACAGATGTATTTGACACAATGGATATATGTATGGATTGTGATAAGAGCTGTAAGTGCCCCCAATAAAATAAAAATATTTTTTTTAAAAAAGAGGAAAAACAAGCATACAGCGTTTACGTAAGAAAATAACTTTTTGTGGTTATTACTCTGTTGAATTTTAATCATCTTTTTAGCGTGTTTGTGAGATTAAGGGTCTGAGTTCAGGCTCATAAATACTGTACTGGAAAGCTTAAACTTCTGTAGTAGTTTCCTTCACATTATTTTTTAATCTGACCAAATGAAGAGTAATTATAGCTCCATAAAGCAATGCTTTTACTCCAAAAGAATGAAACTGCAGTCTCTTCTGACATTCACAGTAGGAAACTAACTTTTGGTCCTTTTCTGGAGTAAAAGGGAGGATGAATTGGAAAAATGAAAGGGCACGATGTTTTCAATATTATCATGGCGAT